TGGACCTGTGTCTTTATTCAACCTCAAATACTATGTAACTATGATATTTACATATTAATGGGTGGTGCTATTTACACAGGAATAGACTCATTCACCCCAAAAAAATTTCAGTGATTCGCTAGAGTGTCCTGGTTTCGCTTGAAGAAAAGAGGGCAACCCTAAGCTACTCCCCTCCCAATGGCCCCCTCTCCTCCCTTCTCCAAGCTAGTAGATGGACAGTTGTGGAGTCTTCACTGTCCATTGTGATCTTGTACTGGACAGGAAGTTCAGGGAAGCTTAGCTGAGAGACTTGGAAGCACCTGTTCAGAAACATGATGATTGTAAGTGTTTGGGCAAAAATGTAAAGCAATGCTTTGCTGGGCAATGCATATTTGTTTGATCTGGATTCATTACTGAAAAAAGTTTGAGAGTTTAATACTACTTTAAATTTTGTGTAGGTTATTAGGATTCATACTGTCATGGTCAGAACTCAAATTATCTCAGAGCAGATGGTGTAACACGAATAAAGTGATACTTTGTTGCACTAGCCCTAAAAGTGTGTCTAGAATGTATGAAAAAAATATATAAAAACAAAGCTTTTGCATATTTCTCTTAAGAAGAAAATTAAAATGTACATCCTTGAGTGACAATCCCATGCATGGAATGCATACACTACAGAAACAAAAGGCTTCAAAGGTAATTTCTTCACCAAAGATGGTTTATTGTAGGTTTATAAAACAAAGATAATTGTTTTATAGTAAACAAAATAATGTTATGTTTTGTCTTGAAATTCATTTTTTTTTTTCAAAATTATGTTTTTATTTTATTATTTCAAAAGGAAATACATAGTAAACAAACAAGGAAATGGAAAAAGACTTGCCTAAGTCCTTATCATACATATTACATAACTTTGGCAGATAACCACAATAGAGCAGGCTAGTATAGCAAATACAGTATAATAACAATCGTGCTCGCTCCATATGATGCGAATGAATATAAGCCCAACAACAGCACACAAGAGGAATGTCTCTAGGACCTCTAACCACTAGTACTTATTTTCCTCGTTGTGTATCACAAACCTCCATTGTGAAGTAAGTAGTGTTGAAATTCATTTTTGAAACAGATGTGAATGAGACCTTGACACGTGAGGCCAAATCATACGCTGCAGCACGAATTATCATCAGGAGTACATCTGGAACTCTACCTAAAGGTGTCAATTTCATTTTTTTATTAGCACATTTATAGTCTATTCTGCAGCAAGTAACAGAAAGGCTTCCCTTACGGAACAACATAAGGAACAACATTTGGAAATCAAAGCAGTTTACTTATCAAGTACAAAATTATTTTCTCTAACATGCAGGGGCGTCCCAAGGCTAGGTGACACCCGGAGCGGTGTCCGAGTGTCACCCCGCTGAGACGTCACCGCACGTGTGTGCGATGACGTCATCGCGCACACGCAGCAGTATTCTGATACCTGCCGGCGGCCATCTTCGTGATGGACGCCGGCAGAGAGAGGAGGAGACAGCCACCCGGCGGGATAAAGTATGCCGCCGGGTCCCCTCCTCTCTCCTGATACTGTCGGGCGTTCGGTCCATGACCGAGCGCCCGACTTTTCAGAGGGGGGTGACACCAAAATGACTGTAAGTCATTTTTTTAGCACGTTTTTCCGTTCAGTGAAACGCGCGTTTCACTGGCGGTATGATTTTTTCCCCTTATTTTCTCTATTTAAAAAAAAAATTTCACTTTCAAACTTCCCGCCGGCTCCGCCCCCCTGCGACGCGGGTGCTCGCAAGGGACGGAACCCGGAAGTCGGCAGCTGCCGGAGGACACAGCGGAGGACACAGCGGGGATCGCAGACAAGGTAAGACCTGTACACTGTATTCCCGAGTGAGGCTCGGGGTTACCGCTTTGTTAACCCCGATCCACACTCGGGAATACCAATGGAAACGCGCGGAAAAACGCCCCAAAGAAGCTCCTGTACTTCTTTGGGCATAGGGCGTTTTTCAGCGCGTTTCTACGCCCAGGTGGGAACCGTGCCCATAGGCAATTATTGGTTTTCACATATTGAGTGTTTTACAGCGCGTAGGAATGCGCTGTAAAACGCCCAGGTGTGAACCAGGTCTTAGATCAGAGTGGGGCTGAGCATTTCGTTTAGGGCTACATTGTCAATGAAATGTCCTTGCTGTGCAACATACTGAAATCTGTGTGATGCTGATGGAACAACTGCCAAGAAGAAGAAGGTCAATCGTTCAGTAGCAAAGAGCTTTAATTATCATAGCCCTAGCCTTATGGTTATCCTTAGTCAAGTGCAGCAGATTTGTTGCTTCATTCTAATAGCTGGAGTGCAGAAAGGGTAAAGTATCTGGCTTTTGTAGTCCATTCATAATCAGGATCGCAAACAAACCCCAGTCCCCCTTTTCCCACAATATTACAGCAAGAATTTTGAATAAATAACTTCCAGACCGTTCATGGGTAATTGCATAGGAGGGTCTCTGAGCAGGTATAAGGGCTCATCACTCCCACAAATACGTTGGAGAAAATGAACCAGAGAAGATAGTGGGTTTTTTTTTGAGTCACCCTTTGTTGGAAATATTACCGCACAAACATATACCGTATTTTTCCGTTTATAAGATGCCCCCATGTATAGGACGCCCCCCACTTTTCTTACCCAAAATTCAGAAATCAATATTTTCCATGCTCTTTTGCATAACTGATTACATCCAGTTTAAATTTTGCAGAGTAAGACAGCTGCTTACTGGTACCGGTATTTTTTTTGTTTTCTGACATTTTTATGGGCTCCTTGTTGCATCTGGGCACTGGCTACACGCTCTCCGCAGCATCAGCTGACATCAGGCTCATGATTGGAGGAAACCTGTTAGCTTGTCTCTGCAATCGGAAGTTTCACTCGTGAGGCTAGTTTGCAGAGGTATTGGCAGTTTGCAACGGCGGTTCTCCTCTCTGCCCCTCCCCCCC